TATTGACAATGCATCTGCAATCTCCATTGTCTTCCCAGGCTGATACTTTATCACGAGATCATATGGCTGTAATCTGAGGAGCATCCGTTGAAGTCTTGCTGGGGCCGCTGTCAGGTGCTTAAGGTGTATACTTTCTAGAGGCTTGTGGTCTCAATGAACCGTAAAGCTGCGACCAAACAGGTAGGTATGGAACCGTTCACAAACATAGACGACGGCGAGCATCTCTCTTTCAATGTTGGCATAACGTTTCTCTGTATCAGTCAAGGCTTTGCTTGCGAAAGCAACAGGTTTCTTGTCTTGTAGCAAGGCTGCGCCTAATCCTTTAAGCGAGGCGTCCACTTGGAGGACTGTTGGTTTCTTTGGGTCGAAGTAAGTCAGAGTTACTTCTTTACTTATGGACTCTTTGATTTTGTCGAGAGCTTCTTGGTACGTAGCATTCCAGCAGAATGGTGTTTTGTCAGTGACTAACTCTCGCAGTGGTGCTGTTAAGGTGCTCAAATTTGGCATAAAAGGACCCATGTAATTGGCTAAGCCTAGGAAAGTTTGTACTTCCTCCTTACTTGTAGGAGGTGCCATCTGTTTAAGGGCTGATACCTTGCTTGGGTCTGGCCGGATGCCATCCTTAGTGCATATAATCCCATAGAACTTTATTTCGTTTTGTTTAATGAAGCATTTGTCGGGGTTTAGCTTTAAGCCAGTTTTTTTTGCATCGTTCAATCATCGCGTGCATGTTGCTGTCATGAGCTGCTTCCGAATCTCCATATACCACAATGTCGTCCGCGATGCCGATTACACCGTTGCATCCTTCAAAGGTCTGGTCAATCCGAGTTTGGAAAATGTCTTGGAACATCTTAAGACCAAACGGCATACGCTTGAATCGATAGCGGCCATATGGTGAATTAAACGTTGTAAGATAGCTGGACTCCTCGTCGAGGACAACATTCCAGTATCCRCACTTTGCATCCACGATTGAGAATACTTGAGCTCCACTTAGCTTTGGTAGAATCTCTTCTAGAGTTGACGTGACATGATGTTCTCTTTTGATTGCAGCATTCAAGTCCTTGGGGTCCAGGCACAAGCGGAGTTTCCCGTTAGACTTCCTTCTGTACACAAGGCTATTGACCCACGCAGTRGGCTCGCCTTCTTGGATTTTGCAGATTATGTCTTTCTTTACCATCTCATCTAATTCTTCTTTGATTTCGTCTTTCATGCTGAGTGCCGCCTTCCTAGGTGGGTGCACTACTGGTGGCACAGATGGGTCGATAATTATGTGGTATTCTCCTTGGAATTTTCCGATTCCGTCAAAGCATTCTGGATACTGCGCGATCAGATCTTGCTTGTCTTTGATTGGTGCCGGGTTAGTTGGACGTTTGCAAAATTCTGTGGGCCTGTTCCTGGGAGAGAACTGCTTCAATTCGAGGTTGAATCTGAGAAGGTTGAGCTCAGTAGCTGTATGAAGGCCAATGATCGCTGGGCCTGGTGTGTCTGTGATGTAGAATGTTGCTACTGTCTTGCTGTCTTTGAAGTTACATGGGATTTTTACTGTGCCGAGATGTTTGATTTCTGAACCGCCGTATGCAACTAGAATTATCTTTGATTGGTTCAGTGTTCCTTGTTTTGGTTTACCGTTTGCATCGATATTCTGTGGGTACATATGTTGGTAGATTCGGAGGGGTAACACGTTTCCCTGTGCACCTGTGTCGATTTTTGCTTTCAGAGTTGTCCTGTCTTTCTCTCTTCCGGATATGTCAATATTGACGGTGG